TCAGATACCTTTTTTTAAAAAAAAGCTCTAATTGTACTGGCTTTTAAAGCATAAAAATGATTGAGTTAACGCACTATGTGCACTAGAAAGCTTGTTATGTAGTAGCGCTTAAGAGCAGCTTCGCCAAAATATTGACTACACTTAGAAATAGTGAAACTTTCTCCAAACTCGCCCAGAATGAAGCCCCACGGGCACTAGTTATAAAAACACTGTTTTTTTTTTACGTTCGATAAATCAAAAATTATTTTAATGCCCCAAATCAGCCAAAATCGATCGAAAATAAGGCCTCATTTATATGGTCTCGGGTACCCGAGACAACCCTCCCCCTAAGGCATCTTTATGGAGCCTTTATATGAGAAAACGGTTTCCCTGCAGGCCGAGTCAAAAGTTGACCCTGCCAGATTATTCATAACCCTTATTGAATAATCAAATCTAGAAAATATCCCTCTTTTTTTAAGTTTCTCTCGGTCATTCGATCACAGTGGGTTTTGCCGAGTTAATTTTCACTTCTTTGATATAAATTTCTGCTTTAAATCCTTAATCTAGGCATTTCGTGACAATCGCCACGCCGAGAGTTGTCCCAGTTTGGCGAGCCAAAGTGTTTATATGAANCCGCCTGCCAGGGTTACCCTACCTGCCGAGGCGAGAAAACTCACCCACCCGAGTTGCCTCCCCCCCGCCCCTCCCGAGACAAAAGTCACCTCGCCTAGGGTAACCTGGGGGAGTGTTGTCTCGGGTAACCATCATATAAACGATCATAGTTAGTTAACGACCCAAGACAGCTAAACGAGAGGTCTACATTTAGCCCATTTTCAAATGCTAAAAAGGCGTTCTAATACACTGCTTTTCCCAAAACGTCTACTTTGGTCTGAAAGAGCATTGTTCCTTTTTCAAATTAGTGAAATAAAATTTTTGGTAAATAAAATCGCGAGCGCTAAGATAGCGAACTAAATGCAGCACTACCTCCTGAGAACGTGACCTTTGACTCAAGCGTAAGGAAACCGATTATTGCAAGAAATGCAAACGTTTCGTTACTTTGAGACATTTTCTTGTGAATCGCAAGAAACTGTTCTTACAGGATCAAATATATAGCTAAAAGTCGCATTTCGTTTTGAGAAAAGCCGCCTACCAGAACGCCCTTTTAGCATTTGAAAATAGGCTAAATGTAGACCTCTCGTTTAGCTGTCTTGGGTCGTTAGCTAACTATATATGATCGTTTATATGATGGTTAACTAAGAAAATTCGTCAAATATTTTATTTCTTATCAAATCGCGATTTATATAGCTCTAAACATACAAGAAAGGAAGTACAAATACGACGTGCAATCAGTTTGTGATAAATATTTTTA